TGCCAACCTAGCAGTTCAAAAGCAAGAAATTGCAAGTAGATAAATAGGTGCCACTTCGGTGGGAAGGTGACAGCGTTCCGTGCGCCTTGGTGTTTAGTCATGCCGGCCACATGACCACGGAAACGTCTTCGGACAGCGCTGGCTCTTCGGCTTGGAAACGGAGATGAGCACCACAACCCTAGAGTCGGACTCGACTGGCTTTCGAGCAAGGGAAACCTTTACCTTTACAACAGCATTGGGTAAACGATGGGGGAAAGTCTTCTGGTCCACCATCTCTTTGCTTGCTTGTACATCTTCAACGATAACATGACCTGTAGCTAACATTCTGGCTTTGTCTCCGTTTTGCATTAATAAAAAGATCTTCTGATATTGGAGAACCGATAATTATGCTACAATTGACCGTTATCTTTTGTAAAGATCCAACGGAATGTTGGGGTCCCAGAATGAAGAGCACAAGGCAAGTTCGTAAACTGTGCCCTGTCTCCTATTCTGGAATGATTTTGTGCCTACCGGTGCAGCAGAAACGAACACAAATAGCACATTACCGCCACCGCCCCGCTATACCTGAGGGGTCAAAGTATCCAGGGCAGCCAAAGCACTTTCTAGAATGGGCAGAGCTTCAGCCAGGTCAGCATCGCATTCATCTTTGATCGCCTTGGCGGCCAGTGCTTGCTCGTTGGCTACCGCTTCGTCGGCTTTCACTATTTTTTCTGTTTTAGCCACTTCTAAGGATTCCTTCTCGATAACGAGCATCATCTCGTCCACTTGCTTACTGGCCGTTCTGAGCTGCGGCTGCAACGCTTCCAGTTCCATCTGCATCGTGGCCACCTGGGACGCAGCCGAGTCCAGCTTCTCCAAGCCGACTTCGTACCTTTTCTTCATTTTCATCACCTGACTGAAGGCAAATTCAGGAGACTTTGGGCAACGCAGGAAGGCAAATGCTGACAAGTTAATACGAAAGGACCGCTTTGGTATCTACAGTTTGCTAAACCCAAATCCTGTTCCTGTTTCACCCTCAATATAATGAAAACGAGTTATCTCTTTTTTAAGTCTGACTTTCATTTTGAGCCGGGCCATGTGTGTTATAAAATGTAATGCCAGGTAGCAGAGATATAATCTTTATAAAAGACACAAAGGGGTTTTTTTAAACTTAAAATAAAATCATGCTTAAAACATTAGCACTCTTGCTCTGAATTATTGCATCAAAATGTCTGTGCTGTTGCAATCTTGGGTATGCTGTTCAGGTGTGTATCTGTAAGCTGCAAACCTACGATGATGCAGCAGCAACAGAACTGGAAGAAGAAGAAGAAGAAGAAGAAGAGGAGGAGGAGGAGGAGGAGGAG